AACCAACTGCTCTCCAGCTGGTTTTAAGGCTTACTCCACAGGAAGGAACTCCCATCTGATATTGTGAGCTAGAACAGAAGCCTGTGCCTGCAGAGGTCTAGGCTCCAGTGTGTAATTCACCATCGTTTTGTTTAAATACATGATAAGTCTGTCAAATTAATTCCAAGCGTTTCTGTTATGTTCACAGATACTGTAGCTGTCAGCTGTGGGAAATCAAACCAACCCGAGACTTCCTCAGAGGCCTTGGTGAAAGGACAAAGGAAACTTTAGCTTTGTGTCCTTGTCCAGGAGTGGACTTGGCTAGGCTGGTCTAGGACTGGAGCCTGGCCTTGAAGGAGTGACTTCTAAGGACAGAACTCTTCCCCTTGGGCTGTAGTTACCAGTCTTGAGGCAGCTGTGTTTGAGATACCCTGTGCTCTCTTTACCAGCGTCCTCTGACTTAGCTCTCTGCTGACCTTGGTCATTCTCCCCTTGCAAAAGCATATAGGCTGCTGTATTTCTTAATAAACTTGCTTATGCATCATCTTATGCAAGACTTCTCGGTCCTAGCTACTGATTTTGTCTTATTTCTTGCTCTCTTTCTTTTTCATTCCTGGTTCTCCTACTCAACACCTCATTGTTCAGAACCTTTATTCTTGTGGCTCTGAATCAGCCAGCCTTGATTTGTCATGGAAGAAAATTCCATTTTTGCAGTGTGAGGTATTCTACAGAGATTCATAACTGGTCAGTATCCTGAGACTGACTGTTGCTGTGACATAATAGCCCAAGAGTTAGACATAAATGAAGGGAAAAAAAAAACCAGACAACCACATGACTCCATCCAAGGCCCAGAGGTACAAGAGTTGGCAGAGAAAGGGTGGGATGTTACATATCCATTTTCTTGGAATTTGAAACATTCCATTTTGGAGGGGGGCTCCTTAAGATTCAGGAAGTTCAAAACTGATAAGGCTCAAGAGTTAACAACTTCCAAGTCTCAGGGAGTTTCTAAAACTTACAGGACTCACAGGGTCCCTCTCAAAGTAATATAAGCAGTAACAGTTGCTGGGGAGAGTAGTCTGCATACTTCATTTATGACGGGGTGTGCTTTTTGGTGATGGAGCTGCCTTTGAGTAATCTGTGATACAATAAGTAACTCTTCACCCATATTCCTCTGTAAGTTACCCCCCAAAACTTATCCATTTACTAAGTTGGACTTTTGCCAAATTGTTTCTTTGGTCTGTTGTCAGTGCACTTTCTGGAATGAATAGAAAAATTTCCACTATTCCCCCAGGAAAAGTTACATAATACAAGGGTCCTTTCATTTCCAGAGTGTGGTGTGACCCAGGTATCCTGGTATGATGGCCCTGGTGGCCTAGAGGATCTCTAGTCTCAAGATGACCTGGGACAATACCAGGAAACTCAGTCTTTCCAGGGTATGCGCACTCCCACACAGTATCAGGAAACTCTGGGCAACACAACTGACTCCAGATCTCCAGCAGATTTCCAGATGCCTGGAGGATTGGGTATGGAGTTCTGAGGATTGACCAGAGAGTCGAAGATTGCCTTAGAACCCCAGATTCCCAGAGAGTCTTGGGGACTCCTCATGAAGTCAGAGGGAGTATCAGTGAATACAACAAAATTCAGTTGGAAATAGGGAGCCAAGAGGTAACCCCAGGGACATCATGTCTGAATACAAAAATGGGGCTCTGATGATTCCACAGACACTGTATCCTCTCCTCTGGGATCTGGAACGTTACCTGCCAGGCTGGTTAGGGATAGTACCTTAATTCTCATCCTGTTGATCACACAGATAGCTTTGAATCGAGGCCTTACGAGGGATGGTCTGCAAGATTTGGGTGGGTCAGGGCATGAGAGGCAGGAAGACAATGAATGAGAGGTGGATCAGTCCCAGCTAGGAACTCCAGGGACAGGACAGCATACAAAAAGGAGAGACACAGAGAAGAAGAGACATATGGGACAGAGATTAAAAAGTTACAAGACAGAGAAGCCAGCAGACGGCCATCAGGACCAGCTAGTGACACCAGAGAGATAGGCAATGCCCAGCTCTTCTGATGCCCGCTTTCTATTTTGATGGGAGACCTCAGCCAAGCCCAGCCTCCTCATGTGGTCCTACCCTGATCTAGACCACTCAGCTCAGCCCCAGAGCACAGACAGACAGCAACAGCCTGACAGGGAGCTGGTGAGGGGACCTTAAGAAAAGACAGGTGGGGCTAAGTTTGATGACTCAACCCAAACCTTCCAACCTCCACCCACACTTGGCACAGACCCTGACCCTGAGGCAAAGCTGTCCAGGCCAAGCAAGTCCCCTCCTGCCCTACCCCACACTCAGTGGGGTGCGGCTGCCCTCTCCTCTCCCAGACTTGTAGAACAGGGACAATCTTTGGCATCAAAACTGGAGAGGCTTGCTCTGCCCTCCCCTCCAGGATACCCTGATTCCTGCTTTGCAGATGACTCTGTTGGGTTTCCTAGAGACTAGCTGGATCCAGTCCAGCCCAGCAAGCTACAACTTCTACCTTTTCATCTCAGGCCTTCAGCCCAGAGGCTCAGGCCACTTCGCTTTGCCAGAGCAGATCCACCTTTGTCATTGGTCCCAGCCATAAGAACGCAGTCTAAAACCGGGGCTCCTCGGAGATGCATTGTGCCTGCGTGTCCAGGGCTGGGTCTGAAGTGCCCAGTGATGGAGGGTGAAATGAAGGAGGCACACTTGACAATGGCCCTGCTGAGACCTCTGCATGTCCAGAAAGCATCCCTGAAGCCACCAGGACACACAGAGAGCACCCCACTGAAGCATTAACATACAGGGACTGAGCTGGAAATTTTCCCCAAATCAAACTACACAGCAATAGCTGGGACCCTGGCCCAGTATCTCTGAGCACCTCTCTCCCAAGGGCTCTACACTGACCTTCTCTGTCCCTAGCTCAGAGACCAGGCACAGGTGTTCTGCTTTGATCCTCTAAGTCTCTAGCTGCTTTCTGAATTCCCATCTTCCCACCCAGTTTGCAGATGGGTAAGATGGGATATGGGTTGGGTTGTTTTAGTTCTCAACTACCTACCACCTGGATAAAAGAGGAAATTGGAACCCAACCCATGAATTTTTAGGTCCAGTTCTTCACATGGAGAAAAATTTTTCTTTCTTTCTTTCTTTCTTTCTTTTCTCTCTCTCTCTCTCTCTCTCTCTCTCTCTCTCTCTGTCTCTCTTTCTTTCTTTTTTCCAAGTCGGAGTTTCTCCATGTATCCCTGGGTGTCCTGGGACTCACTCTGTTGACTATGATGGCCTCAGACTCAGAGATTGATCTGCCTTCGCCTTACGAGTGCTGGGATTATAGGTGTGTGCACGCCACCCCCTCTAGCTGAGAAGAATGTCTATGGAGGAGAATCAGGTACTGAGTTAAAAAGAAGTCCCTGGGAGGCAGACAGAGGCCCTGAAGTCATCTTGAACGGTACTGTCCCTCACACAGTCCTGCCCACCAGATTGCAGAGCCCAGGGGTGAGATGCATTCTGGGAGTGGAATATTGAGGTGGAGACTCCAAACTTAGAATCAACTCCCTGCACTCATCCCCTGTCCTAGTACTCCAGAGACTCCAACCACATACTCCCAAGGACCCTCCTGGAGGCCCAGCGACAGAACCTCCCGGGGCTTGCAGTGCTGTGAAGACGTTGTGGAGACATTTCCATTTCCATTTCCATGGTAAACTCCCCTGGAGGGCTGCAAATACAACTCAATAGTAAAGTACCTGCCACTCACAGGCAGGCTCTGGACTGCATCTTCAGCAACACAAGGGAAGAAAAGGGAGAGTATTTAAGTGTAGGGTGCATGCATGCGGCTGCAGCATCTGGGAGGTGGAGGCAGGAGGATTGGGAGTCCAGTGCCAGAATGTGAGTTCAAGGCCATCTGAAGGTCCTTTCTAAAAGCATCTACCCCCTCAAAAAGCTCGAGAAAAAAAAGAGGGGGGCTGGAGAGATGGCTCAGAGGTTAAGAGCATTGTCTGCTTTTCCAAAGGTTCTGAGTTCAATTCCCAGCAACCACATGGTGGCTCACAACTATCTGTAATGAGGTCTGGTGCCCTCTTCTGGCATGCAGGCATAAACACAGAATACTGTATGCATAATAAATAAATAAACATTTAAAAAAAAAGAAAAAAAGAGGGAGAGAGAGAGGTTCTATTTTTCATTTTGTGTGAGACAGGGCCTCACTATGTAGCCCTGAATGGCCTGGAACTTGCTATGTAGAGCAAACTGGCCTAGAACTCAGAGAGCTCCTCCTGTCTCTGTCCTGTGAAGGCTGTTTTTTCTCTACTTGTCTCCTGAGCCTACTAATCCCTCCTGGTGTTGACTTCGTTGGTGATTACTCTGAGACCATTTTAATTAATTAATTAATTAAGACCATTTGAATAATTTTTTTTCTACATGAACTATAAACTGATTGGCCCATTAGCTCATGTTGAATAAATTTATCTCCAATAAGATACAAGTTTTTTTTTTTTTTTGATCTCATTTTCTCCTTGGCCCTTAAAAAGGAACATGTAATTCATTTGAGAAAGGATCTTGCTATGCAGCCCAGGCTGGCCTCCAGTTCATGGCAATCCTTCTTCCCCAGTTTTCCATGTGCTGAGATTGTAGACATTTGCTACCAGACCTAGCTGATGCAGAGACATTTCTACTGCCAGGGCTTCCACTGCTGGCATGGGTGTCGCTGTTCTGTTTTGCGTGAGTCCCTGGAAGCATTAGGGTCGCTCTAGGATGAATTTGGACTTAGCAGAGCAGCAGGGTGAATAGCTTCTGGTGAACCAACTGCCCATTGCTTCACAAGAACCTTCTCTCTCTGTTTTAAAATTGTTACACAATGTCCTCCTCTTAGCAAGCCGATTTCCACATACCAAAACCTCTTATCTGGAGTTGTTTGAAGGAACCATTTGCCCAAGCGATCTTCAGCCGTGAAACTTCTTCATTTTCCATGTCTTTTCCTACCTAAGTTTAGCAAAGCCTCTGGAATCCTTCAGAAAGAAGGGTATCAAGCCATGAACAATCGTGAAAGGCAGTTCAAAGCCCAGGTGCTAACACTCGGGAATTCAAGCCAGATGCGACAGTCTGCGGGATCCACTGCTGCACCTCCCTCTTCTGTTTAAGCTATAATTCCGTTGACCACTGTTCAGCCTTCCAGCCAATACGGCCTTTTCTCTATCGCTTTGTTTCACGGTCTTATGGAAACAAGCCAAACTGCATTTTAAAGCCAAAAAAGTGACTGCTGCTAGAACAAGGACAGCAATCGCTGGAAACGAGAACTCTACTAAAGTGCCGTGCGGGGTTGAACGAGGCTAAGGCACCGGCAAGGCTTTCTACGACAGCATTCCTGTTGTATCAGGTAACCTGTTTGAGAGCGTTTTCTTAATCTCTTGCTGTAAATCATAAATCATTTGAGAATTAGGGTGACCCATCAAATGCATCTTAACTTTCCCCCGTCATACTTGTGACGTCATACTCGTCATCCTTAAATACAATCGGATGCAACTTTCCCACAGCATTCTGATTTTTCTCTGTTCCTTCCGTATTCCTAACTGACCTCCCCACAATATAACAGCTCGTCTCAAAATAGCTATCTTATTGACTGTCTCACTATCTGTTTTATTTTGTGGAGTCCAAAGTTCTGCAGAATGCTATGCCAGTCCCTAGCGAACTCAGCAGTCTGAATTCCTTATGAAGCCCTGGTCTCGTCATTGTAGCGATAGGAATCAACGCAACAGTTCCCATAACTCCAGCAGTAATCAGTCCAAGCATTTAATGGGTTCTTCTTAATATTCCCTCAGCGAACTTCTGCACCAGGATCACCACAGGAGAGTCTTGCCATGGCCTCCACAACCTCACTGGTATCCATCCAGATTGCTGGCCTTGTTCTAAGAATGAATAAACTTTCAGAAGTTACATTTAAAGACACGCTAGACTGAACACAGGTGTGGAGGGCACAGTGTTCACATGCGATGCTGTAGTCGTTAGGTGTTCTTGTACAGGCCATCTTAGTTGCAAGTCAGGGAGTGGTACACCCACCACAAAGAATGGCTCTGATCCGGTCTAAAGGACAAATGTCTAAGTTTCCTTCCTGTGCTTTAAGAGGGCAAAAGGCACTTGCCAATTTCCACAAGTTAATCCAAACCAAATTGCCAAGTTTCAGGAGAGGACTTGCCATTCCAGCTCCTTGCCACCGGATAGGGTCATTAACAGAAGCGCTAATTTCTACAGTTCCACTCTGCTCCATCTGTGCCATCTTAATTCCTCGAAGTGAGCTAAAAGGGCTCCAATCAGTGGTGTCTCCGTGGAGATATTAATTAACACTTGAGATTTCTTTTTACACTTTTTTACATTGTTGCCCATTTACCCGGCCAGATTCCTTGCTGGTAACTCACACCTTAGAGAGTGGTGGATTATGGAACTAGTAGCATTAATCTCCTGTCCTCTAAAACCGGATGCTTAAAGCATATGAAGCTTGGTATGGAAATTCTGGGTAGTATAAACTACAGGTAACCACACTTGACAAGTTTTGTTTAGACCTTGAATTTCGTTACCCATACAAATAGGAATTTCTTGCACTCACACGGTTTAATTTATGATTTCCTTACCCTTCTCCATAGGTTTCACAGATCATTGGTTGTCATAAAAACCAGGTGGCCAAGAAGATTCATTAACTATCACAAGGATATCCATATCTACCCAGCTTACTCCTGTGTTAACTGGAGGAGTAGAGATATAGGCCTGATATGTACAGTTGGTCCCTGTTACCTGGCTACCTGTACAGTTATCACAGACAGCAAAGAACAGGATTGTAGCATCCTGGGTTGTTTCTGAGCCTGTGGAACAATCGCCTCCCTTTGTCACACAAACTCTTATGCTGTCCACGGTGGGAGGATCAGCTGTCTGATACAAAGGCCTTTCTTTCTCAGAGTCATGTCGCCCATATCAGCAGCCCAGACATCCAAGAGACTCCTCTTCTTATTAACTTTGATGGTATCCACAGCCTTTTGTCTCCTGCACAAACATAAGCATACCCTCGGCCCCATCTTACCCTTTCTCGGCTTTCAATTTTGATGTTAAAACATCTTTATAAAAGCTGGGCAGTGGTGGTGCACACCTTCACGCCTTTAATCCTAGCACTCGGGAGGCAGAGGCAGGAGGATCTCTGTGAGTACAAGGCCAGCCTGGTCTACAAGAGCCAGGGGTACACAGAGAAACCCTGTCTCAAAAAAAATTACCATCTTTATTTTTTTCTTTTCTTTTTTTCAGGTCCCCCCCCAGACAGTTTCTCTGTAGCTTTGGAGCCTTGTAGACCAGGCTGGCCTTAAATTCACAGAGATCCGCCTGCCTTTGCCTCCTGAGTGTTGGGATTAAAGGCATGCATCACCACAGCCCTGCTAAAGATGGTAATCTATCCCTGGGAGTCCACATACCCCCTTCTGATTTTTTTTTTTTTTTGGTTTTTCGAGACAAGGTTTTGCTGTGGCTTTGGAGCCTGTCCTGGAACTAGCTCTGTAGACCAGGCTGGCCTCGAACTCACAGAGATCCGCCTGCCTCTGCCTCCTGAGTGCTGGGATTAAAGGCATGCGCCACCATCGTCTGGCCCCCCTTCTGTTTAACAAGCATCTCTTTCAGAGTGCAATTGGATCTTTCAACAGTTGCTGGTCCTGGAGGTTTATACAGTAATCCTGTAATGTGTTTTATGTTATAGCTTGCAAAACAAACAAACAAACACCCCTTCATTTTATTAGACACATTTGCAGGGGCATTATCAGTTTAATTTGTTCAGTATGCCCATTACAGCCATTGTTTCCAGTAAATGTGTAAATATAGAATCCGTCTTTTCAGGACTTACGGCAGATGTCCATTGAAATCCACAGTTTACATCAATGGTAAGATGAATATATTTTAATTTTTCAAGTTCTGTTAAATGAAATACATCTACTTACCAAATTCATTTTTTGTGTGTATGTACCTTTAGGATTACTCCCTGCAGGTAAAGGAATTTGATTATACAATGAACAAACAGGACAGTTTTTTTGGTAATTTCTTTAGCTTGTTGGTCATGTAATGGAAATTTTTTTCTTTAACCTTTACTATTGATATGTTTTTTATGAAATTCTAAAGCTTCTAACACATTTCCTCTCAGTAATTGATCAATTTTGTCATTTCCTTTTGCTAATGGCCCAGGCGATCCAGTATGAAACCCAATATGAGGGATATGTGGAGGAAAATTTCTATCCTGATAGCCTGTTACTGCTGCGTAAATAGCAACGTCAATTCTGAATCATCAGGATAAGCTTAGAAATTAATACATGCAGTACAACCCCTTCAGCACAATGAGTGAGATCAGTAATATATTAAGAGATTAATTGGAGTCTAATCAAACCATTAGAATGGCACAGAACTCTGACTTCTGAGCTGAAGTGGATGGACTTTGAATTTCTTTTTTTTTTTTGATAAATGTTTGTCATGGGAAAAATGTTTATTTTGAAATTATTTTAGTTTGGAAATATAAAACCTCTTGGGGAGGGAAAAAAGAAAGAAAAACACAAAGTATACAAGCAACTTTTTACTTCATAAGTTCTTCATTTGCTCCTAGTTCCTGCAAAGGGAAAGCGCTCAGCCACAATAATGTTATTAATAGGGATATGGATCCATTTCACAAAGAAGCCAGTGAATCCCATGATAGCAAATCCTATGGCTGTGGCCATGGCAATCTTCTGGAATTCTTTTCTGTCGGGTTTGGTGTATCTTTTAACCAGCCGAATTGAGTCCTTTACGAACTGCCGACTTGGCTCAACAAACTGCATTCCCTGATCCGTGACTGATTGCGGGACGGCGGCTGGAGGAGGCAAACACACGTAGCTTAGCGACTTTGAATTTCTTTGCTGATGTTTTCTGCTCTCTAACCGGCCATTCCTGATTTATTTGTATCAGTATAAAGTGTAAGAGCCCCAGAAACAGGGGCTTTTCTCACTGTGCGGGGAAGAATCCATTAGGTTCTATTTATTTATTTTTGGTTTTCTGAAACAGGGTTTCTCTGTAGCTTTGGAACCTGTCCTAGAACTCACTCTGTAGACCAGGTTGGCCTCAAACTCAGAGATCAGCCTGCCTCTGCCTCCCCGAGTGCTGGAATTAAAGGCGTGTGCCACCACCGCCCGGCTCAGTTCTTTTTATAGGCAGAAGCCATTTTCTTTTGGGATAGTTGTTGTTAATTTTTCCTAAGAAATTAATTGTTACCAATCATCATTAGTCACCACAATTGCATAATTTTAACATTAGTGTAAGGTAGTACAATCTCAGCAGGATCCGTTTCTGACAATTGACAAAGTCTTATTCTTCCCTTTAGAATTAATTCAGAAACCTTTCCTATGTAGGTTTTTTCCTTTTAACTCTGCGAACTAGGAATATCTATTCTAAAATATTATCATACCTTTGTATAGTGTAATATTTTGATTCCATTCTAAAAGCTTGCTTTGAGTCAAAGGTCAGAGCTAGCCACTAGCTGACCAAAATTAACCATAGAAGTTTGGAGGACTGAAGACAGATAGGAGACAGGAAGTAATAAGTCAGGCTGAGAGAGGGTCTCAGCCTTTTGGAAGAGGGAACTAAAGAGACAGGAGGTCCCTGGTGGCTGTTTCCCTGCTTCTCTGATCTCTCAGGTTCTTACCCTGATATCTGACTCCTTACCTTTTATTGGTAAAGAATAATTAGATAAACATTTCCAAGTCCGGTAGGGGAATAAGTAGAAGGTAAATTTACTAAAATACATTCATTCAGTCATGAGATCTAATTGATCTACACAGGCATCTTGCAATTTTCATTCTACTTGAGCCAATTCCCTTTCTGCTTCAGCTGTTAATAGCCTTGCGCTGTTGAAATCTGAGTCCCCTTGCAAGATTTGAAGCAAATTACTTAATTCTTGAGTAGGCAATCCAATGGTGGGCTGCAACCAGTTGATATCACCCAAAATTTTTGGAAAACCATTTAGAATGTGAAATTGATCTCTTCTAATTTGTACCCTTTGTGGATGGATTCTCTGTTTATTTAATTTAAATACTAAGTAATTAAGAAAATCTCCTCTTTGTATTTTTCTAGGAGCAATCTGTATTTCTTAACAGGGTAAAGATGGTTTTCTGTACTACATTAAACATTCTTTCTGGGGCTGGAGAGATGGCTCAGGGGTTAAGAGCACTGACTGCTCTTCCCAAGGTCCTGAGTTCAATTCCCAGCAACCACATGTGGCTCACAACCATCTGTAATGGGGTCTGGTGCCCTCTGCTGGCCTGCAGGCATACACACAGACAGAATATTGTATACATAATAAATAAATAAATATTTTAAAAAAACATTCTT